TTCAAATTTGGCACGTGTAATGGTTATGTGGAAATCGATACCTTGATGCAAACAGTCAATTTCAAAGTCAGTAGTAGTCGTAAATGAAAGTCTCCTCTTTGCCTTCTCGCATTCATTTTTTAACCTCCTAAGAGCTTTGGAGTTTCCACTGATGTCCAATTTATGCTTCCTCTTGAAATGCTCAACACAGTAGCCCACCATTCTTTTATCAAAGTCTTCACCTCCCAGGTGAGTGTCTCCAGCAGTGGCCTTCACTTCAAACACACGATCTCCAATGGTAAGAAGTGACACGTCTAAAGTACCACCACCTAAATCAAATATCATCACATTTCTCTTGCCATACCAACCGGCCCTTTTTTCAAGTCCATAGGCAATTGCTGCAGCAGTTGGTTCGTTGATAATACGCATCACCTTTAGGCCAGCACTAATTCCTGCATTTTTTGTAGCCTCACGCTGGGAGTTGTTGAAGTAAGCTGGGACTGTGATGACAGCATTCTTCACAGTTGATTCGAGGTAAGCTTCAGCAATCTCTCGCATCTTCGAGAGAACCATAGATGAGATCTCTTCAGCAGAAAACTGCTTCTCTTCTTGGCCTTTGTGGGTAACCACAATCATAGGCTTATCACCAGTTCCTTGAATGACCTTGAATGGCCACAGTTTCATGTCACTTTGAACAGATTCGTCACTGAATCTCCTGCCAATTAACCGCTTTGCATCTGCAAATTTATGTCAACTACTCATTATTTTCTAAATAAGCGAAGAACTTTTTTTAAAAATTTGATGAGCCAGTTTGCTAGAATGTTTTCTAGAAACAAAGAAAACATGTACTCGCAACCTCACAGGAAGAGGAAACATACAGATGACTTAAAGAAATGTAGTTGATGCAGATCCAGAAAATTTTGGTGGTGGGGGCAAAATGTAGAACCAGACTAGTATTCATGCCTAAAGCAACAACAATTTTTTTTTTTCTGAGTAACGTGAATACTGAATTTTTTTTCAGATGACTTTTCTTCTTCAGAAACTGGAATTCATTCAAAAGAGCCACCAACGGCTCAGCGGAAACCAACAAGTAGGACAACCAAAACAGAGGCAAGATGGCAAACTAGGCCAACCAGACACCAGGCAACATAATACAAAGCCAACTAAGAGAAGACATAAACAAAATCTCAAAAGAACAAACTAAGAGGCGCCTGCTTCCCACACAACTTTGCCCCTCCATGTTCTCATTGAGGACTTTTATCACACACCTTGCCCCCATTGCAGCATGCTCAAGCAAAGCTCCAATGGAAAATATGGGGACTTCATGAATGGGAAGAAGGGTGAGTAGGAGCAATAGCCTTCACTCGCCCTTATGTGGAGCTGCCATTACCTATCTAGATGTGCACGGAAGATAACTTTACCAAAGATGGAGTTGATGTGGTTTCTGATGACTTGGTTAGAAGCTGCTTCGCCGACCAACCGCTCATTAGCAGTGAAGGCAACAATAGATGGAGTTGTTCTGTTGCCTTGATCGTTCACTATAACTTCCACACGATCATGTTTCTGTAGCCACACTGCAACACACGAATACGTTGTCCCAAGATCAATTCCAATTGCATGGTTTTCTTCTCCTGCCATTCTCAGCTTGAACAAGAACAAAAGATGGGAATGTTTGGGAGTGTCTCTGGCTGTCTCTTTTGCTGATAGGGAAGAAAAATAATGTTCCAAGTGCAGGGTTTAGAGAGATGAGATGGAGGAGGAGAGAGAAGAGATGGGGTATAGAAAAGATGAAGAGAAGAGACGGAGAAAGCTTAGAGCATCCACGCTACTTATTTTTCAGTTAAAATTTAGCTAAAAACACTAAAAAGTTCTTTTAGGAGCTCTTTATAAAATTTCAACTCCAACCTTGCTATTTAGTTTAGGGAATCATAAATGATTTATTTCTTTTTTTAGTTTAACATAAATACTCCCTCTTCATATAAAATAATAATAATAAATAATTAGCATTAGAAAGCAACATTTAATTATAAGGAGCCACTAGGAGTCCTTTCTCTTTTCTCTGATTTAGGAGCTCCTAAAGGTCTCTATATTTTAAGAGTTGGACTGGGAGCATGATTGGAGGTGGGTTTTCTCACTTCTTTTCTAAATTTTATCCGAGGAGATGGTTTAGAGAGTTCATTGTGGATGCTTAGAGGGAGTGAAAATAGCTTGATATTTTTTGTTGGAAACTATTTCGGTTTTTGGAGTACATCAATATGGGGAGGGGGAATAACCTAAATATTTACGAAGTGCCTGTGGGTGGGAGATAAACTCTCGTGGTGGGATAGTTCGGGGGGGTTCGAACCCCAAACCCAAACACCTACTCACTACCATGGTAGGAGGACGCCACTGGCTTTTTGCGGGAAACTCGACTAGGGTAAAAGGCATAACTTTTTGAACTTTCCTAAAAAAAGAAAAGAAAAAGAACTAACTTTGGCTTTGTTGCAAAGGAAGGAAGTGGAGCCCACCAATGAAGACTTTGGGGATGCTTTGTCTGCCAATTCCTTCCCTGCAAAGCCATCATCCTTCTGTTGCAATTTGCACCCCTCCAGAGAGAAGAGTTGGAGGATTAATCGTAATTCGTAACTATAAATGCATTTGCATTCATTTCAATGTTTTGATGTCTCAATTGTTGTGCAGGGTCCCCTTTGGAATGCAATCAATCTCTAGAATTTGTTTTGAGTTGGTTGTATTCAAAGGTTCATCAATGTCAAGCAACTGTTAAACACAACTCCCAGTCACACAATTCTACTATTAAATGTTCATCCCAAACCAGATACGTCCCTGGAAAATGAT